TGTCAAGGGGGACAACTTTTTATCCAAAAACTACTTTACTCCCTTTCACCGTTTGCTCCTCACGGTCCTTCCCTTAAAAATTTTAAATGCCAAGTGGTATCTGAAAGGTCTTTCGATTCGTTTTGGAGAAAATTAGAAAATTCTTTTAGTAGCTTTTTCTATTTCTTGCTTGGTAATTGTGCTATCTAAGTGTCCACTGATGATTGCGGTTGTTTTTCCTTTTGGAATTTGGATTTTTGTTCTCAAAACCTTTCCCATTTCTTTGAGAAAATCATTTGATGCTGCTTTTTTATATTCAGACATTTTTATTTTTAATTACCCTTTTCATCTTTGGCTTCTAATTTGTTCTTTATTTGTTTCCTTCCTCAGTTTTGTTAGTATACCCGAATCTCCTCTTTTCTTTTATTTTTATTATGAAATCTCCTTTTCTTGTAGGATAGCTGAGCACCGGAGCAGTAACTGAACCTCGTTTAAGATTTTTGAAAGCCCGCTTACATCCATCATCCCATTAAATCTCGCAACGACTTTGCACGAATTTTGTCGGGAGCCACTGTCACTCCATTCTCTGAAATCAGATGATCAAGGTATTTTACTTCCTTTTTGAAAAGGTTGCACTTCTTTGTATTAAGTTGGAGTTAGGCACCGCGCAACCTTATAAACACGCCTCCAAGGTTCTGAAAGTGCTTTTCGAACATTCGACCAATCACAATTACGTTGTCCAATTACACAAGGTACGTCTTCCAGGATAAACCTCTCAAGACCATTGGCATAAACTAATTATCCACTCGACACAGCCCGACACTGGCACAAGTGTAACGTAAATTTAATTAAGTCGTTTATTTATTTACAAATGATTAACAATAAATCTACAACAGTCTTGAAATGGATTAATTTATAAAAGATCGAACTATTTATTACTACTAACTGAACTGAAACGCAATTCGTTTGTTCATATAGCAAACGTCCCCTCTTTCTCGAAAGATCTATAGCTCGAACGGTTCCGAAGGCATTCGACTTCTAGAATATTCTCGAACAAACACGTCATATTTCTCGGAAAGGTTACGACACATCCGCCTTATAATAATCTTTCCTGGTGCCCCCATGTCTCCCGGGATTCCTGGAATATTCGCTTCACTATATTTATTTTCTACTCCCTTTTCCATTTCGACATCCTCTGTGGTTACAAATACTACTTTTGATATTGAATCTTCTCCCAATAGGGGATCGCCTTCCACAATTTTGTTTTTTTGAGAAACATTTTCGCTCCATACTTTCTTTTCCAGTTCTGACCACTCATTCACTTCTATCTCTTCTTTCTACTGAAATTCCACATTTTCTACTTTTATGTTATACGAAGGATCAGTTTGAGTAGCTATTTTTTGGTAGCGTTCTTAGTTTTTTGTCCATTATTGCATTTGTATGCTCATCTCTTTTGTCTCAGCTTTGATGAGAATCCATGATGTTTGTTCTTCTCTTTTTCCCTTTATTTTCCCTGCAACATCCTTTAGTCCTATTAATTTTTTTTTATTTCACTTTTGGGGTTGGGGCTGTCCTTTCAATTTTTTCAGCTGTTGCACGGTTGCTAGCACTTCATCCAGATACTCTAGTCTTTTATGTTCTGCCCCATTTTCTTTTAGCGAATTTTCCAACTGGTGTTTCCAACCGGTGCTATTATGGCCACTTTCTCCGACCGTCCGTCCGAAGCCTCAACTACTCCTACAGTTTTCAAGATATTTAGTTCGGTCTTTTTGCATTCGGTAGCTTATAGCTCTGGCACCTTGACAATTAATGTGCGCAATCTCAACTTTCTTATTTATAGTTCAGTCAATTTGTACTTGTACTGCTTACAAAAGGTCCGATAGGAGATTGAATTTTTCCGACTTGTTTAAATGGTAAAGAGAGAGGAAAATCCAAGTTTGCCAATGCGACACTTCGTTTTGACATCATATATGTCTCGACCTGATGTTCCACTTGTGCTTTGAGTGCCCTCTTCTGACACTTCGTTTTCAAGATATTCGGTTGGACTTCGCCAATATATAGGTATGTTTGGTTCATATGATTCATTTTGCCTTTGTTAGTACTCTCCTTCGACAAACCGTTTGCGAGAAATTTGCTCTTAAAAGTTATGCCATCACCAATGGATATATTTCTTCCAGACGTTCCAATCACCTTTTGTGAGTACCTTTCCCTACAATCCGCTTTTGAGATATAAGTAATTATGATCGATCACGATAAGGGGTCGAGGAGGAAGACTATGATTGATAGAAATTAACTCCTTTCATTGAGATCATTCAACATGAAGGATAAAACCAGTCCTCCCTGCCCTTTTGATAAGGGGTTAGAAAGAAGGACCGTAGCTCGTAGAAAACCGTTCCTTTTGTTCTTTTTAATTAGAATACCATGAAAGATAATATCTCCATCCCCCTCCGGTCACCCAGTGATGTCGGAACGAGTCACGTAGGAAGGTTTATAGAAACCAATTCATTTCGATGAGGCCTTTCATTAGAATACCATGACGGATAGAACGTGTATTTACCCCACCTCTCTCACCCAGTTTCACTGCATCACTAGAGGCATTTACATGCAAAATCTGAGACAAACTACTTGTCCCACATTTCTTTTAATTCTTAAAAAATGCCTAAAAATGGTATTATTTCCAAAAACTGGGAAAAACACGGAACTTTAAATTTGTGTATCTCCTAAAGCTAAACTATACATGCTAGGGGGCCAAATAAAATATAAAATCAAAAGTACTTTTATACACTACAGTTTTTAATAAAGAACGATTTCACTTAAATATTGCCGTTGGCGAATTATTTCAGAAAAACCGAAAAAAATCAGAAATTTTCGTTGATTTTTGACCGCATTGGAAAACTTGGTTTTTTCTATCTCTTTACTACTTTACTATTTACTATTAAGTCGGAAAAATAAAATATTCTTCCGGTCCTTTTGTAACCATTTAGCATTTTTACGTCTAATTTGACCGGACTAAGATATTTTTTTAAATTTTATTCTCAGACGCTTCTAGTAAAGACAAGCATATCGTATATTGTAAAAAAAACAGATTGCGCATGCGAAAACTGAGCAATACCAATTGTAATACTTATAGAGATATTTTTTGACATTTTTACGACAGATTCAGTAAAGGCAAACATATCGCATATGTTAAAAATTTGGTGTGCACATGCGCAAAGTTTCTTATTAGAGGAATATATTTATGCCGTAACATACAGTGACGTCGGACATGAATAACGGTTAGGGGGGGGGGGGGAGCAAAAATCGGCGACCATGGAGTTTTGCAAAAAAAAGGGTCGGAGGATGTCTAGTGATATGCAATTGAACAACTCAGAGATACTTGACTCGATTGAGAAAACCATAGCTATAGATCATTAATATTTATTTAAAAACTAATGAAAAACTAGCACATACAAAAGTTTATTTATTGCACTATTGAGCATTGTAAAGAAAAGCAAGTATAAAAATTGTTCTGTCTTTCAGCAGTTTTGCTGACAAATTCTTTCAATATATCCTCTACTTCTACACTTTTTGTAATTTCTGCATGCACATGCAGTAGAAGATGTGTTAGTCGCTTTTGAGGGATTTATCTACCCATTCTTAGAGGGGTCGCGGCTCCCTTCTGTAAAAATTACCGGCATTATGACTCATTGGTAGAGCGTTGAGTTATAAATCCGGAGGTCGGGTGTTCGAACCTGGGTTGAGGTAAATTTTTCATCTGTGGCAGAGATGGAAATTACCTTAGACCAGTTTCGAGCATTCTGCCGGCTACTCCGAATTAGGTTTTCCTGCAGTTTTCCTAATTCGTAAGGTAAATACCGGAATAGTATAAAACAACTTTAAGACCTTCTGCAGAGGCACCTCTAAAAAAGCATTATGCGGGTCACTCTGTAATTGGGCGCAAGCCTGTTGAGGGCCCAGAACAAGAGAGGGAAAATGAAATGAAATTAAGGGGGCGCCTCCCCCCTTTGACTCATACTGCCGACGTCGCTGGTAACTTATTTTCCTTTGTACACATAAATAGTTCCTTATATGAGCTTTCGGAAAGTACTGATCAATTCATGGAAAATGCGTTAAATTTTTTCGTAGTTTCGTCCATTTGTATAATGCGCCGAGACAAGACAGTGTTAGTGTGACAACCGTTTAGTAATGCAAATCATCCTTTCGTCTTTACTCCTTTATACCCTCTGGCCGCTTTTAAAATTGACATGTTCATGGAGTATTTATTGGTCTTGGCATCGCCAAAAAATTCATGATAAGTGAGTCAGCGTTGGTGTGTATCCATCGCCTTTTTGTCTTGTCTATTATAAACATCACCAAATCAAAGCCTATTAGTCATTTTGATTTATTGAAAAATTGTTACTGTGGCAGAGTTGTTGTACGGTCAATAATTGCATTACTAACATACGAATGGCTTTCGGCAGCGAATATAAAATTTATACTCAAAGCTTTCAGACAAACAATTTAGTTACGGAGCGATACGTAGGTATACTTCGCACAAGATAGATCTGTGCCAAGAAGACATTAATATTGCACGTATGAACGCAATACCAGAAGAATATGCCTCTATAAAAATAGTTTCTCACGTACCTACATTGTGTAATTAAGATTTATTTTAAGTAATGGCTGCTGCTATTTTTAGCAAGACAACTGGGCGCTATTTTGGGACAAACACAGGTGATTTAATGTTTGTTTTGATTCTTTTCTACTGTGAATCAACCCGCCATTATTGTGGTTGTAGTCCGCAGGAGTGGCATAAAGGATTGATTGCTATTTCTACGTGTGTTCGTGTCGATCGTAGAGATTTTTTTTGGAAAATCATTAATTTTTGTTACAACGACTGAGGATGTAATAAAAATTATTATTAAATTAATGATCGAAAAGTTACAGGTGTATTAATCCCAATCAGAACATGAGTACAGCGTCACACTACTTTGGTAAAAATAGGATTGTTTGGCACAATCGCTCTCAAACTTGCCAGTTACTATCCAGAGCGGTACGAAGTGCGGGAGTTCAATTTAAACAAAAAGAAGGAATCGATACAACAGTACAGTGTCGTGGTTTTTTTTGTAAAAGCAACAAGAATCCACTGGCGTGAGTGCTTTTCGCGAAGGATCTGGATGATACGATCGATTACGAAAGTAAAGTAGTTCAATTTTCAATTAGTTATAGGGTTAGCAAAAATGCCTATAGGATATTATGGTAGCCCTTCGCTTTCGTCCTATTCCGTCCCTTATCTTACAGGTCCCTATGCAAATCATTCGTCAATCATTGCTGCCAATTATGTGCGCCTTCCTAGTACATACACAAAACCTTTGCCTCGCATTAGAATGGGCTTTACGCCACTTTTGGCAACAATTAGCGAAGCACATGCTGCTTCGCGCCCTTTATCTCGAATCACAACACCCAGTTTGGGGCTACACTCGTCGCCAAAGTTTAAAATGCCAAGGCCCATCTCAATCAATACTGCAGATATAGATGTATCCGTAAACAAGTATAGAAAATATAATCGACCACAACGAGCAGGTGATGTCTGTGCATCGCCAGACAAAATCGAAAAGATACCACAAACCACCGAAAGCCCAAAAGTTCCAGAAGAGCCCGAGGACGTTGTTACCAAATCTCCAATACGACGCGATCGGGCAGTTGTACGCATTCACACAATTCACAAACGCTCAAAGAAAAAACCTGAACACGATCAAAAGAGCGCCGAACCAGAACTAAATAGGCGATGGCGCAACAACGTTAGTGATATCAACGGAGAAAAGAAGCTGGAGAAGAAAGCAGAAAAACCAAGCCCATCCGAACGATTGTTACAAAAGCATCTCATTAAGGACAAAAGTGACTCTCTTGAAGACAAACCGGAAAATCAAGAGACAACTGTGCAAAAATCGCCAAGTTTTCACGAAATTTGCAAGAGCATCTCTTCCGACACAATAAACGCAGATTTAAATCCCGCACAAACAGAGGTGATCAAAAAGCGAACCAGATTGAACTCGTCAGATGATCTTCTTAAAAAAATAAGGAGGGATTCTGCCGAAATTTTGCAAGAAAACGTAATGCTACTCGACAAAATGCTTATGGAAGAACATAAGTATGATAAAAAGAATGACGAGCTCGGCAGAACCAGCGTGAAGAAAAAGAAAAAGATCGGCAAGACTAAAACGAAAGAGCTGGAGATAGTGGAGGAACCCGAGCCGAAACATGCGCTCCAGAGGAGGCCGACGCAAAAGAAGAAGCGGACCAGCAGCAAGGAGCTGCCGATCGATGTAGACGTGCAGAAGGCATATCACGATGCAATACGTGATATATCACAGGTGGAGGTCGAGGAAATTAGATTGAAACCTAAACCGGTCATCACGGCCACTGTGCATGTGGAATCATCGAAACCTAATTTAAAAGCGGTCGTTGATAATGTCGAAGTTGAGGAGAAAACCGTCGAAACGCCTAAGTCGAAGTTGAAGTTTAATTTAACGATTGAAAAGATTGAGGAGAATGCTCGCCCGAAGAGTGAGGTGTACAGGGATTTGAAGGAGAAGATTCAAGTTGAACAGGTGCGCATCCCCGAACCTAAGATTCCCGTTGTAGCTAAGGTGGTTCAAAAAACACACACCGTACGGTTAGGTCGAGTGCTGGATGGTATAAAGGAAGAGGAGAGTAAAAACACAGTGAGCACAGAAAAAAAGTTAGTTGTTAAGGTGAACAAGTCACAATTCCCAGTGGTAACCAACAAACAAGTGGCACAAAGAAGCATTCCAGAGATTCTTCCAAATTTTAAGGCCGCGGTGAAAGTGAACAAAGCGAGTGAGGGCCTCAAACATTCGGACTCTGTTAACTTTTGGGAGATTTTGGGTGCAAGGGAGAGCGTCAATTTTAATGTTAGGAAAATAGCCAAAGTGCCAGCCGCCCTAATCCAAACCAGTTCCATTCATGAAACGGCCCAAAATGAAGTGAATAGCGCTGGAGAACAGCCAAGTACAATTAATTCATCCGTTATAAAACCAACTACCCCCAAGGATGAGGGAATGGGGCGGACGGATTCACAGGAAGGCGGCATCGAAAACCTTACTGTCGGGGTGAGTAATAAAGTAGCACCAAATAAAATGACTTCTAAGAGATCCTTGGTCGCGAAGCCGAGTGACGACGATCCCGATTTACACGTGTTCAAAGTACCTGAAGAGCCCAAACCCGAACCTGAAGCTGACAAAGAGGAGGAAAAGGACAAATTCGTCCCCTTGGCTACCAACAGGTTATCGGGCTGGATGCACCCCTTCAAAAAACCAGACCAACTCGACGAATGTCCCTTCGAAAGGTTCGCGACGCCCAAAGTGATCAGGCATCGGCACTATCCTCGTCCTAAACATCCCCTTCCCAGCCTACCCTCGAATGACACAAGTGAATCGGAAAGTAGTGAGAGTGAGGACTCGTCAGATGAAAGTGACAGTTCGGAGGAAGATAGCAACGAAACTTCAAAGGCCGGAACAAGTACGTCCTCAAATGATTCTGGGTTTGATTCATCGGCTCCTGCAAGCCCCTCAAATCGCAGACACCATAACGGTTAGATTTGTTGTGTTACATGTTGATTTTGGTTGTTAACTAATAACTTGGCCGTCCTAATGCGTATTATCAAATTGTTTTCTTTTTATTGAACTCACGTGAGCGATTTCTAAATTAATTCCCGAGGCGTACCTGGCAGCTATTATTTATCACATAGTACAAACGTACGATTATTTGGCTTATAAAAATTCAAGAATAAGCAGCCTTGAGACTGTCGGGCGGTCATTGTCAGATTTGTCCTCAAAATTCATTTAATAAGCCCAACTGACTTACGTACCAATACAAACGCTGCCAAATTTTAATTTAGATTATACGATGCGTTAACGTACTCTTCTGTTTATTTTTATAAGCACGTTTTTCTCTAAACAGTTTATAAAACCTAAAGCTTTGAAAGAAGACTATAACAATGAATGGTTAAAAAGATACTTGACGTCTAGTCAAGGTTAGATGAGAATCACTAAGCTAACAGAAAGGTCGATTTATTTTAGAACCTCGTGGAATAAGCTCCTTTTTTGTGTTCTCCAACTTTTTTGGTTATTCGTTCAAAGTGAAATGATACCCTGCTTTTGCCGAAATATCTTGCTTTACTTACAAACATGAGGATCAAGACAATTCTTTCGGAATTTTTGAGTACCTCCAGTTTGATCGTTTGGAAATCTATGATACATGACACTCTGGGCGCATGGATACTTTTAGTGATCTTTCTATGTTTTTTTTTACTTTTCGTTTCACATCAGCAACGCCACCCGTTCGCGAATTATAAATAAATGTTCTGGCTTTTGTCTTGACAACAAATTGAAAGTAGGTCCTACATATTTGTAATTCTACGTGTCAAGTTAGTGTATCCTTCTAATGTCGCTTCAGTAATACCACCTGTTCCAGGAACATGAAACAAAATTAAAAGTTTATCTATTGGGCCGAAGTGTACATGTGGACAACCTTGCGTGCAAAGGATTCAAGACGGACCCGATGGCTATCTTTATTTTATTGTCTTTTCGCCAATAAAATCGATTTTAGTTTAGAATAAAATAGGTACCAATGCCCTAAACAGCTCCGCGACGTTGGAGGTACGACATTAAGATATTCAAGTCAACGACACGCTTTAATTTCGTGCCCATTTTTGCCATATAATGCAAATTTTGTGCTAAAGCCGTAACGGAGATATTCAACATTTTTAGTTTGTAAGTACCCCCAACTTCACGCTGGAGGTACCCCTTCGTCAAATTCAAAATAAGTATTAGAATGCCATTTTGTGCTCATTTGGTGTAATTAAAATTTTGTGCTTAGGCGTCACGGAGATATTTAAATTGTTCAGTCGGCACCTTCAACTTCACACTGGAGGTACATCTTTGTCAAATTCAAAATATTAGAATTCCATAATTTTGTGCTCATTTTGTGTTAATTTTTTCCGCATAATAAGAGAACCCTTAAAAGGAACAACCAACTGCAACTATATTATTTCACCTTCTACATTTAATCGGATTTAAAAGAATACAAGATTTGGTTGATCCTTGTTTAGAATAAAATGTAAAAGAAGAGATCAATAAAACATAAATGGCAGTAACGAGGGCACTTTTGAAGCGTGAATGAGTAATTTATCTGTAACGATATTTGTCACAGCTTAACATTGTAAGGGAAACTGTCAAACTGTTTGAAAAGGTCGCGTTGTTTAACTTTCTAACTTATTAGGGATTTTTTTGGGAGATAACTTAGTTCATAATCAATCTTTCCAAAAGTTTTGATATAAGGAAATTGACGTGCGTAGTCTAATTTAAACTAAATGACGCAAATCTTTCAACGATATCGCTTGAAGTTTTAACGAACTTTAAATGTAGGGAAATTGGCGAAGTTGGAAAAAAATGTTCCCTACTTTGATATTTATGTCAATAGGTAGTGGGATGCTATTCTTGGGTATAAATTGGGTGTATCAAGAATTTATTACATGAGGTGTAACACATAAGTATGTAATAAAATTCAGTGGTTAGACGAGGCTAAAATAAACATGTTTAAGGTCTACGTCCCGAAAAGCGTTAAAGTTTGTATTGCTTTTGCTTAGAGTAAGCATGTTCTTCCTGATTTTGAAATCATTGAAACATTGTATAAAACAGTATTTGCACGGGCACAATTAATCAAGAGCTCGTCGTTTTCTTTATTAAAGCTCATTTTTACCACCCGCAAGTTAGTAAGGGAGGTATTGCATTGTGATAAAAAATGAGCCCCTACTTTTTTTACGGAAAAACACGTTTTGAAGCATCATGAATCCGAATCAAACAAAATTTCGATGATGTCCATCGGTCTGTCGATCTGTCGGTCTGTCCGCCTGTCTGTCTATACCCTCGGCGATTCGAATAAACGCTGCCTGCGACGGTTTAGAGAGCCCACATACATGCGTTTTCTTATAAACAATTTGACAGTCGTGCGCGCCCGTCGTCAGTCGCGGGCGGCGTGTGTTCAGAAACACCAGCGCCTTATTACTGAGGCACCGAATTTAATTTTTTACCTACACTTAATTCTAGCCGCGCACCTAACGCTTTCGCGGCTTATCGTTGAGTGGTCTACGCTGCACTCTTTTAATTTTACAAATACACCTCCAAAATGGATGCTAATTGATTTCAGCGTCCATCTTGATTCGTTCTACCAATAGACTTATTCTCCATTCACCGACCCCATGTCTAGAAAAGCAATTGTCAGAACCCTCAACGTCAGTAGTTTTCAGTCTGCGTCACAAAGCGGACCCAACTCATCATTCTGCCTTACTCGCAACAAACTTGCGCTACCAAGTTTTACTCACGTTATTAATTGAGCCGTATTCAGAAACCATTGATCCAAAAAATAATAGATGCACAACATTTTGGAGAAACCTACCCTTCCTTGGTGTAAGTTCCAAAACAAATACAGTTAATTAATTCACTTGTAGGCGTTAGTTTTTTAATTATAAACCCACAGAACCGCGCCTTTAAGGTTTTCGTTTCAAAAAATTTACCCGAATAAACACTTGGTTCTGGACGGAATTTAGTTCGTAGTTTGCGCTTGAATTTTTGGTTTTTTTATGCCAGAAAAATTGCAACTCATGCCCAGGTGATCTCGGAACGAATTTGACCGCTGCAACCGATGTGGTTACTCTTTCCCAAAAGCTGAGGTATGGTTAACGCTCCCGTAACCCAAATCCAAGGGCCTTCAAAAATCTCTCCACATTAGTCCCTACCTATTCTTTTTTAAATTATCACCGTTTTCGCGTCTCCTTCGCTATGTAAATCGATGTTTTTAGCGTAACGTAACGGTAGCGCTTATATGCTCAATTTTTGGTCGTCTGTCTGTCTGTCTGATCCTTCGAGATCTCGGCCCCTGGGCCACCTAGAGACTTGGGGTTTTCGTTAATTGATAGCTGCTATGGTCTATAGTGCTCGTTACTCATCATTTACAGTTGTGTTACGCGGCAACACCCACGAGTGGGTTTTGAAACACTCTTTTCTTTATTAACATCAGGAATAAGTAATGAAAACGCTGTACAAAGATAAATGTACACATTTAGTTATTCCTGCAGGCTGAAAGCCATGATACACGAGTCAAACATATCGAGAACACGGTAAATATCAGCATTGATGCTATACTACTATGAATTCCTAATACAACTATGTATAATTAATGATACCATGCATTACTATTCAGTTCAGATTGTTAATTTCGATGCATATAAATGCACTTATTCAGAAGGTGGTAGCTCCATACATTACAAAAAAAACTATTTTTGAAGCGTTGTGGTTTTGCGTAAAATTGCTGCATTTTGTATAAACCTACAGCGAACTAGAGGAGAATAAAGTTTCCCAATTAAACGTCGAATCAATTAATATTCAACTAGAGCGGTTATATTTTACACACATTGTACACATTTACAGCAGTAACACATTTGGAAAGGTATAGTGCACAAATAACTTAGTTTCACAGTTGCTTTGCACCAACCAATTACAGCCAACGTCGCTAATTACATGGCAATTTGTTGTAGAGTACCTTGAAACGATCTAGCCTGGCGAGTAAATAATCTTTTATTGAGGCAAAATGGTAAAATCAAAGTTGAAAGTTGGAGATTAAAACCGTCAGGTACACTTTAAGACGAAATATTGGAGTTAATAAATGTAGTGACACATAATTACATCTTCCATTTTATGCCAAATTAATAATTGTGAAAGCGTAACGTGACTCTAAAAATGTATGTAAGAAAACTGCGAAATAAAATGTATTTTTACGCTTTAGTGCGACATTAATCTTTGCGCATCTTGTGAGTGCTTATAAACTCAAATAAATGTCAAAGTGCCTATAATAAAAAAATGATATAAACAAGGGATTTTTGTTTGGAAGCAATCGCGAAGAGTTTTCATTTGACGATATTTGATTTACTCCCATTAGTGTAAGAGATGATATTAAATACCTACGTCAAATTTATATGGAATTTTTCTCGACTATAACCGTACTTGTTTACGACGCTTCAATCCTATGCAAAGGGTTTGCATTCATTACACTTTTTGTTGTTTTTGCAAATAAGTAACTTAATACCGGAAGTTAATAGTAATCTTTGGCAGCGTAAAAGACTGCACTGGCACATTTAATTGATTTGTCCCCGACCGCGTACGATGATATACTATGAGATAGAAAGGCGGCTACCTATCGATATCGTTTTCTAACGTCTTGTCCTTATATAACAAGCCTTTCCTTTAGATAATATAAAGAATTGATACGTACGGTAGAATTAATCCATTCACGGGGATTAGTTCATTTAACTGTAAATGCACGAAACTCGTTTTCCGTTTCAAGGAAACACAATTTGGATTTACGATCCCCGAAGGATGGCAACTTTCATCCTCGGTAAAACACGCGCGAGATTTTCTTCATTGCTCAAAACGTAAGGCAAAAACTGTTAATCAACCACACAGGGGATGCGCGAGTAATCTTGAATCGAATTCATTTGACTTTTTTTCTATTGGAAGCTCCACCGTTAACTCTAC